TCAGAAAGTAAATTTAATATTAGAGCAAAGCTTTACAGTAAAGATATACAAATGTTGTATTTGTTATATAATTTTTACACTCACCTGGTATAGGTTATAATAGTGCAACCTCTTTTTTATTTTATTTTTTTTTTTGCTACTTCTTGATAGAGATAACACTTTTTTTTGCAGCCTGTTTGGGCTCATCTCTTTGTTTTTCTTTTTTTACATTTTCTTTTTTTCTTTTTTTTTTCCTTATAATGTCTCTTTTCTTGTTTTTGTTTTTTTTTATATATATAAATTCTTTTTTTCTAAATATACATGCTAGTATTAGAATACAGGAACCTTATTTTCTTTTACTTTCAATAAAAAATATAAGAATAAAGAAATAGGCTTTGATGAGCTGACAAGATCTAACTTACATGTAAATTGGTATAATGAGTTATATCTAGGCATGTTAATCACAGCTAAATAATATCAGGCTTGTAATTTTTTTACTTTTGTAATTTTCTATCCAAGATTGTTATAATAAAGTATTGTATTTGAGCTCTGTAAGACTTTCAAAGCTTTTTAAAAAAAAATCATAACTTTTCTATATAGAAACTATCTACAATTACTATAATACACTAACTAAAAGACTGGGGTCTAATATAAAATACCTGAAAAAAAACATAAAATACCCGGAATATTTTGACTATTACTGGGCCAAAATTTTGAAATTTTACCAGAATTACATAATTTTACACCATATATTATACCTGGATATTTTATATAGAGGTATTCAAAATAGAGTTTTTAGTCAGTGCACTACGGTATATATAAATGTAATTGTGAAAAAGTAATTTTATTATTAAAATTGGCCAACAAATTCTAAAAAAATGTGATAGTGATTATAATATGATTGTGATTGTATGGAGGTGCTTTTAATATAAAAAAAGGATCATATTTTTGATGTAATTATATAGAGTTTGTGACTATACAGTTAGGAAATATACCATATTTGGACAATGCTGATCGCATCTATTATGGTAATAGAGTGTCAATTAAATGATTCTAGAAATTTCAGTATGTCGATCATTTGATTACAGAATTACTACGTAGTATCGGGTAAGCAAAAAGTTCTTTCATTTTATACTATGTATATACTGAACATTATTAATTTTTTTATATTTAAATTTTTATTTACTTGACTTTTATTTATTAATTTATTCGTCCATGTATTTTATTTATTTATTGCGTATGTAACAAATTGATCAATTCAATAAACAATTCTTATTCACCATAAAACTAAGGTATATATATTGTAAAATAATAAATATTCACAATTCTTATTCACCATAAAACTAGGTATATTGTAGAAGTAAAATAATAAATATTCACAATAAATTAATTAATTACTCTAAAAATATTAATCTTTTGGTTCTACCTTATTTTACTAATAGTCATTTCACTCGATCGCTTATTTAGCCGACATCACTCCAAACAACAATTTACTTATAATATATCTACAACTAATAAATATTAACTCTAACTCTATGTGATGTTGATTAAGTAAACTTTCAGTGAAATGATTGCTGTAGAACTAGATCTTGGATCTTTGATTACTGACAAAGAGCATTCTTAATATCTCTATTATAGGAGGTAAAAACTTGTAATTAAAGTAACCGATTAATAAATGATTTTTATACCAAACAACCAAATTGATACCAATAGTACGAAATTAAAGTAAGTAAGTCACTAAACCTAAATAGCCTATTATTCAAATGATTTTTATGCTTAACGACTTTAAATCTATGAAATTGAAAAGGCAATGTATAAATATTCAGTTAATAAATAATGCTTACAAACAAAACAAGCACAGTATATTGAGTAATATGTATATAGTAAAGTTTTTTGTTCAGTAATCTCTATTTAATTAGCAAAGATTGTGATGAAGTTCTTGAGTTTTTGTGCACTAGTATTCCAAACAAACATAAAAGCTTGCAAGTCTTTGAGTCTCATTTACTTTTTTGATGAGAGTTGATCGGTGCTGATTATTTTTGATTATTTAAACTACATGTTTCCTTCTATCTACTTATGCGCTTATTCATAAGGTTTAGTAAAAAAAAATTTGGGCATAAAAAATTCCCGAAGAATGCTGACCAAAAGGTTATACGAACCAATCAAATCTGAGATCCGACATGTGGATCATTCTAGAATCGGATTTCCTAATTCGGTAAATCCCCTGACTGCTATATGGGAGGACAACTGTATAACTAGTAATAAAATTTTAAATATAGTAAGTTTTAAATATTTTTATATAATTAAAATTTAAATTTACAAATTTTATTAAAAAATTTTTTAATAAAATTTGTATTATTAGTGTACTACATATAGTACTGTACATTAAAAGTTACAAAAAATAGTAAGTAAAAAGATTTTTTTCTCAAAAATTTTATTAATAATGTTAAAAAAAATTCTACCAAACTAAACTACAGTATTTATCAGATTTTTGTATATAAAAATTTTTTAGTTATATAATTTTTTAGATTTTTAAACTATTTTTCTAACCGTACTACTGGTAGTCTAAAAGCCTAAATCCTTTCCATTAAATATAATATTCGTTACATATCAACTTCTAATTCTGGGACAACTCCAATATTTTCACAGTTTAAACATTTTAGAAATTCTTCATCTAACTCTCTAATCTCATAATTAGGGTTAATTATGTTAGCATTAATAGTTTTTTGAATCTCTTGGAAAGATTTATTCTCGGCTTCATTTGGAGTGCTTTCATTAAGTGTGTGAGTTTTAATAAAATTACAAGAACGATTTATTGAAAACTTTGAAATTTTCTCATCAGGAGCTATCTATTCATGATAATATAACAATATATATATAGTATATATAAAATTCATGTCAGATAATTAGAGAACTCGGAAGATTTTTTGATGTCAAATAAAAACTTACACTTTGAAAACAATGACACGCTCCCTCATAAACGTCAAGTATGACATTCTTGAATGGTGAATTAGCAAAATTTCTTGTAGCATATTTTGGTAATTGAAATTTATTCGGATCAGAAGCCTTGAAACTGAATAAAATATTCGAATCTAGAAATCTTTCTCCACTACCCACTTGCTATTTTATCAATAAATGTAAAAACACATATACATATTATTGAAGTAATTAATATAAACTTAATATCTGAACAAAATATTATAAATTAATTACTTACACAAAATAGGTGGTAAATTTCCCTAACATTGGACTAATATAAGGAATGGCCAAAGCCTCATTTGCACAATATAACCTAAATCTTGGAACTTTAGTAAAAGAAGGATGACCGACCACATTTGGTTTTTTTTGTTTAATTTTTTCAGAAAGAATTTTTACTCGTTTAAGATATTCAATTGACATGGAAGATGGTGGACCAAGTTTACGAGTATTTAATGCACCAATTGTAAAATCAGTTTTGTCCATTTCTGGTTTCCAATATGATGGCATACTACTTGTTAAATCTACCCATGGAGACTTTTTGAAATTATTATAATATTAAAAAGTGATTGAATTAGTTAAGCATAAAAACTTTGTAATAATTATAATATTAAAATAAATACATACCCATAAAACAAGTCCTGATGGTAATGGTAAACCAACATCACGAATAAATAATGCAGTAGCAACCGCCAATCCACCACCAGCACTAGATCCAGCAATTATAATTTGTTTAGGATCAATTGGCTTAAATTCAAATTCAAGAGGGGGATCGATAAGATATAAATATGCTGCTAAAGCATCACAAAGTGGAACAGGAAATTGATGCTCCGGAGAAAGACGATAATTGATTGCTAATTATAGAGAATAAAAAAAGTTAAATATATCTTTAATAAAATAAGTCTAAAATATAACGAATAAAAATTTTTGAGATATTTTACCAAAAACTGAACATTCAGCATTTTTAGCGATTTCAGAAGTAAAATCACGGGATTTTTTAGTTGATCCCATATAATATCCGCCACCAAACAAGTAAAGTACTACTTTTCCTGTGTCCTCTCTATCTTTAATTTTAACCCATTCTCCGTATAATCCATTATTATCAAGAGATTGCCACTTTTCATCAATAACATCTTCATATATTTTCAATCCATCCACTAAATATTCCTTGCTTTTGATAACATACTTTTCATCCAATTTAATCTCGTTTACAATGCAGTTATTTGGAGTTGATATAGGAATACGGTCAAAATATTGTTTCTTTGCTTCTTCTATAGACACATCTCTAGAAGCTTCAACTATCTTTTTCATTTGTTCTAATGCTTCATAATATTGTGGAGAAAACGATAACTGGGACATTATTAAACTATTTTTTTTTATTAAACTGAGACCTTTTTATATCTTATACAGTCGTCTTTTTAAAAAAAACGCCAACTTACAGTTGTACTTAAAAGTCACAAATTTATCCTAAAACGGATAAATTTCCGATTAACGCGTTAGATTTAAATCTTTTTTGGTGCTAGGACTTTCGGTGTGTGAACTATAATTGTTTGGTTGAAATAGCATGTTATTGTAAAGAATTCAATCACTATAGTTATTTGTATTCATGATATGAATTTCAAATGTGATAAATTTGATATGATGCAAACAAATATAAAAAAAATATAAGAGAACATCGCTATAGACTCACACATCGAAGGTCAAATTTTTAATATATAGATTTAGAAAGCTTGCCGGTTCGAATAATATTAGTCTAGATTTTAGCAGGTTGAATTCTCATGCATTTATCACGTTTTATTATTGAAGTCCAGCATTTTTTTTTTTTACAGCTGGCCATAATTTCCGCGCAAACTAAATAAATTGTGCGCACATTTTTGATATACAAGCTTAGAGAAATGGCTTTACAAAAGTTAAATATAACTTGTTCACGGTGAAAAAATAATAGATGATGCAATAGTTTATTATTATGGGTTTAATACTTTTAGAGAGATACAGTAAGTCAAGGTTTATAAATACTTGTATGCACAGGAGGCTTCAAATAAATAATGTTATTATATTCAAGATATAATTTTTTTTTTTCTTGTTGAGTTTTTACTCACATATGGCAAGAAAATCTACTAGCACTTATAACGTCAACCTCTGAAATAATATATGCTTTTATATACAAGACTTTCTGAAATGAACGGTTATCGGTTAAATTCTTATCATTGTCCCAGAATTTAAGAAAACGTTTTCAGAGCTACAATTTTTAAAGTAATGCGGCAAAAATTGTATATAATGTATAATGTAGCTAGTGTAGTAATTTAATATTGGTAAGAAGACATAAATAAAGAATAAACCAAGACTTCATATTACGGTAAATTACATAAACAATATCAACCCATTTTTTTATGAAATATGGATAGACATTGTTTTTGTGATTTACAACTACTTAAAGTTCTTTTTTCATATGTTAACATTTAAATTTCCCTAATATTAAATATTATAACTTGTTTTGTTTAACGCCTATCTTTTTGTTTTTATTGTTATTAGAATCGTTAAAAATTGACTTATGACTCATTATGTGATTTTTTTTTTAAAGTAAACACTTTCATATCGTATTTCTAATTCATTAATGTATGAGAAGTATATGATGAGACACTAAAAGAATACCAGACTTCAGATTTTCAAATTGATACGAACCAATTTCACTGGCAATTATTTTTTGCCTACAACCGTTGAGTTGGCCTAATATTAGCTGGAAGTACTCTGGAACTCTTCGATAGAATGGATTAATAAGGTAAAAATTTCAAAAGCTCAAAACCTGGTAGCAAACATATAATAACCACATATAAAGACAAAAATAAATCACATAATATAAAAATAAATTATATGACATCATTAATAGCCTGCATCATAGATTAAAATTACAGCTGTCGATATGGAGTAATAGCCACATCCTGGGTAAATTAACAAGACAATATTGCACGACTTTTTATGCGATGAATTAAACTTTCAGAACCTTTTTTCACACAAACGTACTGTACATATTAAAAAAACTTCTAGAAATATTTCTTTCGGCACTAAATGCCGAAGGGAAAAAATAAATCCCTTTTATACAGTATATTCATTCCAGATAGCTTAAACCTACTATTTTAATATACAAGTTATTAATCCTCTAAATGATCAATTATTCTGAAGTATTAGTGAAGGATGTTTATAAAATCTCTGTTTAACTTCGTCATATCATATTCATAATAATATGGATTGTGAAAGATTAAACCATCTTTGTGTATCGGTATTTGCGAACGAACACTGCTCTGACTTTTTTGGATCTAGAAAATAGTAAACTTTCACCTGTCAAAGGAAATACATTGTCAGAGTCTCCCTGAAAATACACAACTCTGACTTCTTTAAATCTTAAAAAGAATATATTAAGTTCTGAAGGAGAAAAGGCAATAACAGAGGCATTTTTTATAAACGCTGGCTTAACTTTAGAATAATAAATTTGAACGTGAAAGAAAACATTAGCGAATCTTGGAAAGAATGAACCGGACCTAAAGGAGGAATGTCATTAGCAGACTTCTTTATATGAACATTACCATAAATTCCTTAAATCTTCAATTTAGGGATCTCAAGCACCTCATTTAATATATCCGAGTAAAATTTTAATCAATCGGTTATAATGATTGAGTTAAACTATGTTCTCGTTGTTCAATCATTTCGATTAATTAAATTTATTGAAGTGTTCTTATCGTTATAATATTTTTGCAGAAAATTCATTGCGTGAAACGTGGGTTTTAGATTTCATACCCACCGTATAGAAAAAGAAAATATGCTGTCAAGTTTAAGTTTTTGACCTAAATGACTTTTACAACCGATTTTTTTATCCAATTAGAACATTCTATAAACTATACAGTAGACGGTGATTGTGAAAATATAGAAATTTTTATTATTGCTTACTAACAAAACTACAAGATCTAATATACTAATTTTTATTGCTATTTGATCAACAAACTACAAGATCTAGTGTACCAATATTCTATAAAAAAAAAATCGTATAGAAGAATCTTTGAAATGGTATTTTTAAGTGTGAACTGCCCAAATTTAAATTATCATTTTAAGTAGGTTCATGATTTGTCATGATTACAATATGGAATCAAAAGCCTTATTTGAAATTCTATTAACTCTAGTATTGTTAAAATAAAATTAATTTCAATGGTTTAAAATAACTAAATACAGTAAGCAATGTACGTATTTAACAGAAAATAATTCGGATAAAATATATTTGTTTACGATATTTCATCATTAGCTATAGGAATAAACATAATTAAAATTAATAACCATTTTATACAGTACAATGGTGAATTAAAATTATTAAATACATAAATTATTAAATACATACGTGAAATATCGCTGTAAATTCATCAGAAATTGAAAATTTGATTGAGTTAGAATCTAGAAATTAAAATGTAAAAAATTTTGCCGGTTAAAATTGAACATATTATAATAATGTACTTACCACAAAAACTTAACGATTTTACAGGTAAATAAATGAAGAATTTATTGGTTCAGAAAGATGTTTGAAGTTAAGCAGTTTACTTGTAAGTTTATCTTTAGAACAAATTGGCAATTCGGTTGATAACGATGGAATAATTGCATCCGCAGATTGGAATGCTTTTAATATTTCTAATTCATTTTTATATTTTGCTATACCATTATTTATTATTGTATACCATCTACGCAATTTATCATAGATATCAGATGTAGATGGT